CTACAATTCATATAATATTTGCAACAGAGCTCTTTAACAAACAGATACCAAGTCAATGTTTTAATTCCAGGCCTAGCAGTACTTAACTCAGTGGATCCCTATTTATCATGCCTGCAATCACAAGTGCTAAAGTTACTGTGATAAAAACTGTACAATTTTTCTCCTAAAAATATCAAATTATATAAAGTCAGCACTGCAGGTTAAGAGCAGTGCAGTTATGTGAGAACAACCAGAGTGCCACTCTGCAAAAATCCTCAGCCTAATATCAAAGCAATAATTTTAAGATCAAGTCTGCATTGACAAAACGCAAGTGGTCCATAAGGCCAGAGCTTATCCCACTTTCTGTAGCATAAAGTGTTAAATTTCAACCACCCAAAAGATCTTTTCCACCTCTCAAGAAACCAAATTGTATAAGAATTTGTACAAAATTGTACATCTTTTAGTAATTTACCTCCAAACAACTATTCATTTTTGCTCTCAATATTGCACCATTTCAAGCCATGTGATGTAACTCACGTATATGTGAAAACACGACTTTTTGCTCAAAAAAGAGGATCATTTCTCTTCAGAACATCTCTTAATACGAAATGGGGCAAAAAGACTCAACATGCTTATTTGATAAGAATACCGTCTGTTGTTTTATCCTTTATATTGCCAGTTGTACTTACAATAATAAGCTAGTAATAAGCTTATTATAAGCACTCTAGCAGTATAAGCTTATAAATTACTGTATACTAATAACAGAAGTGGTTGGTAGTCATGTTGTCTTTAGGAATTCCAACCCGACTTGTACCCAAAAATATTGGCTTGAGAAAATAGGTGGCTGCCTTGGTGCGAGAGGTTGCTGATGAGTTTATCGTACAACACGTTGACCGCGCGGGTATCGAATTCCGAGAGACACTGCGGTAAAAATTCGAGCTAATACATATGCATGAAGAGTGAAAAAATGGTCAAGAAAGACTAACGAAAGAGACTAAACCGATAATTTTCATAATGAATTCTAGCTACAATCCTTTACGCCAAAAAATAAAAACACATTTCGTCTAGATACCTTGAACTGTACTTCTCTCCTGTCTGCCGCCATCTTCCCAAGAAATTGTGAGATAATTTCTAGTGTGCGTACATAACATGAAAATTCACCATGAAGTCTACCGCTTGAATCAAGATAGTGGCTTCAGAAAATTCTCTGAGTTTTGATTGGTTCGTGCGCGGGAATAAAAGAAATACTCGAAGCGAGGTAAAAAGCGCGATTTTTCGAAATCAAAACACGCGAACGAAATCGTTGGATTTTAAAATTATCACTGTCCCATGGCTGAGATTCTGGAAGAATTTGATCAGCCGTCACCTTGCACTGTTGGATTTTGTCAACAGATTCCACTTGAAGAATATGACCAGCGATCAGCACAGACTACACAAGCTGCGCTCCATGGATTGCTTGATCACCTCGACTCCAATCCTGAAGAATTTTATAAGATCTTACGGCGAAAGAAAGCAGATAACCTGAAGTTGCTGCAGTTCGTGAAGGTTAAAGTGATGAACCATCTTCAAGACGACTATCTGGAAAAGTACTTTCCTGAAGAGCAATGTCAGAGAGAGCTGGAAAGTCTGAAGAGGGAAATGGCTTCAGCTTATGATTATGCACAAGGTTTGTCAACTGATGATCGTGGAAAATCGATAAGAATCGATTCCACTGTAATGTCAAAAAACACGAACAATGCCAATCAACCAAGTAATATTTGTTTACCATGGTTTAATAAATGCAATGATTGATTGATTGATTGATTGACTATGTATTCTGTATTTTTATCTCGTAGAACTTTCTTTTTAGCTGTTTCGCTTTTGTAAAGCGCTTAGAACAGATCTGGATAGGCGCCATAGAAATATCTATTATTATTATTATTATTATTATTATTGATTAATCGATTGCTTACTTGCTGGTTTGATTGATTGCTTGACTGACTGATTAACTCTGTGACTGGTTGATCAATTTAAAGGAAGTTTTTGCACATGATTGTTGATCATATAAATTGATTTATCACTTTGTGGAATCTGTTGTGGTCTTATTTAAAAGCTAGGCCCTTATCAATAATCTTCCCGCAGATCACTATGTATTGAATTATAGTAGAAGCATGATTATATTGAATGATAGTTACATGCAGGCTTAAATGTAGGGTAATTAGTGCAAAAGTAACTATGTCCCATGCTCATCAAAACAGAGTGGTTATTGTCTAAAAAAAAACAATGTTGTGTTATGTCTGTTGACCAGAGAAACCCTTTGTTAATAATCAACTTCCAGTGAATAATTGCTAAGTTCACGAATTCAAAACAAGATCAATTGAACAGGGACCCAAAAACACTTAAATGAAATAGGCTGGTTCAGAGGCTCTCAAATTTTGCTTGCCCCAGATAAGTCTTAATTTACTTTTATTTTTAGTTGGCAGAGAACTTGCCTGGGCCAGTTGCTGATCGGACAAGTGAGAATGAAAAGTTACTTGATTACTTGCCCGGCAGAAAAATTTACTTGTTATGATTAACTTTTACTGGTTGTATAATTAGGTCATTTAGCAAACACTTGTCTTTTTCCTTTTAAAGATGGTAAGAAAACAGGTGTGAGGTTCTCTAAAAGGTTGGCTGAGTGAACAACATATTTAAGGCAAAATTGCTCAGTATACACTGTAACTGGAAAGCTGGTCGAAGCTGCATAACAGCAAGTTATATCTTTTTCTACATATAGAAGGCAGGCTGCCAATAAGTCTTGACAAAAAGAAATTAGTACAAAAAGTAAATCATTTATAATAAATTATATCTTAAATTTAGTTTATTTACCCGTTAATTGGGCACATTCAGTGCATTGATGTTTTTGTTACTCTGTGCTCATTTATCTCACCTAGATCAACATATTCAGATATCCCTGGGACACCCTCAGGAATTTTTCATCCAGAAGTAAAACTGGTCCAGTCAATCAGGAATATTGCCCCAAGGAGGAAGTTGCGGGAGATAAATTCTGGTGCAACTGTGACATCAAAATACAATACAGATCAAACCAAGTATGTTACTTTTGATAAAACTTTGCAATCCATGCGATATTTTTTTCTATTTTGTTAGACAAACTTAAGTTTGTGTAATATGAATTTGGCTGGCAGCAAAATCGTGACCTTTCTTTTAAAGCTCTGATGTATGCCTCCCTTTGCAATACATGATTAACAAAAAGACCAGATGTCTATTTTCTCAGCTCCATGCCTCCATAAATAGAGAAAACAGCATGGTCCCTGAGTGTCCTGCTTATGCATCAGTCAATTCTAGCTGTGCCCATCCCTCCCAGGAAATAGAGCGGCATTTTCCCACTCTGTTGATCACTGAGGTCAGGTATTAACCTTCTGCACAGTTATCCTGAGGCATTTGACCATGTTGCTTGTTTCGTCTTACAGCGCTATGACCAATATTCATCAGCACATACAGTATGGTTTTTTGTTGTGTATGTCTATAGTTAGGAAATAAATGAGACATGCTAAACCTGCAGGGTGGCCTATATTTTTACCATCATGGGAAATAAGACCTCACTTAGATTTAAGTGAAAGTAAGATGAGAAACAAAGAAAATGAAGCATTTTTGAGTCAGTACCCAGAGGCATTTGAACAACTAG